TCCAAGCCCTCTTTCCAAGTCTTCTGTTTGCCTCCAGTTCCTTGAGGAGTTTCCAGCCCCACTGCAGCAATACCATCTCCTTTTGCTCCTTTTTACTTTCCAAACACTATACCATCCAGTTTTGCACACAGACAAACATGGAGCAGATCATTTCCCTTAGCCTAAACGTACCAACACTGCAATGTCAGATAGGCAGAGTTTGGATTTAGAGTGGATTTTACTACACGTTACACACTTAATCCAAGTATGACCAACACAGATCTTGAGACTTGGAAATAATACGGGGTTTGGAACAAACTAACATTGCAACCAGTCTACTGGGTTTCAGTAAGTCCTTTTTCCTAGAAACTGGCCTCTTAACAGGACGTCCAAAAGACGTGCTTAGGCACAGAAATCAAAAATTGAACTCCTGAGTAGGAACAACATGGTTTACTGGGCAAAAGGAGACAAGAATCCCATCACTCGCTGTGCTCCCAATCTGCTGTCCAACCTCAGACGAGTTACTTCACCCTTTGTCAAGTTCTTTATTTTTTATTTAGACAGAAACCTCTATGAAAGCTTTTTCAGAAGTGTTTGTACCAAGCCTAGCTGGGCCTCAAACTCAGTTGTCACTCCTGGAATATAAACAGGCACAAAGACCTTAAGTGCCCTGTGGCAGAAACCTTCCCAGTGCAGAGCCCTCGAAGGGGCTGCAGAGATCCAGAGGATTTAAACATAAGCCATGGAGTGAATTTCACACTGCCTATAGTGTCTTCCATTATACTAAAGCAACACGTTGGAAAACTAACCTAACAGAAAACAGCAAGATGCTTGAAAATAATTACATGATATAATTGTGTACAAGCTGTATGCAAAAAAAAAAAAAAAAAAAAAAGTGAGGCAGCTAATGTTGACCAAGCCTTCCTTTCTGGGAGTACCTTTATAAACACACTGCCTTACAGACAATACAGTCAAAAAGCAGAAGGAAGCACTGATTGTACACTCCAAGCAATCCAAAGTTGCACATGGGGGGGGAAGATGGGGTGATCCTGCAGTCCTTACTCATATTGTACATGCTTTGATCTCCAGACCAAACTCTCCTACATCCTTGCAAGATTCCTGAGCAATAGCAAAAGATGGAGAGTTTAAAAAAAAATCCAAAAATCCCTCATAGGATGGAAATAGCTTGCTATATAAAGACCACCCCATTACAGGAAATGAAAGTGATTTAGAAATAAACAACCGTTACAAATATATGTGCAGAATCTAATTAAGGAAGGTTGTAGAATTAATAGCCTTTGTTCTATCCTGAGCACCTGATGGGATCCTAACTAGTGGCCTGAAATGCACTGCTTGGCTTTCTGCATGATGGTTGCTCAGCAGGTATTAAGTTAAAATTACTCACGACAATATAGCAAATGTGACCAGCGTGATCGTCAAGCAGAAGATGGACAGAGCGCAGCCAATGTAAGTGATGGAGGAGAGGGCCACCTGGTGTTCTCTTGTTAGCTGTACACAAAGAAAAAAAATGAAATAAAAACTATTAATTGATTTATTATACTGCGGAACCACAGGTCAGCCCCTCTGCACGTGGTGTTTCCTCCTCCATCTGCCCATACACAAGGTGATGTTCACAGTCATTCACTGCTGCTTCTAACATGGGAAATGAAGGGCCAGCCCCAAACTCAGTCACACGTGCCCAGGGCATTTTGGTTCCCTTTTTTATTTCTGTTCTGGTTATGGCCGGGATAGAGTTAATTTTCTTCACAGTAGCTAGCATGGGGTTACGATTTGGATTTGTGCTGGAAACAGTGCTGACAACACGGGGATGTTTCATTACTGCTGAGCAGGGCTCACACAGAGCCAGGGGCTTTTCTGCTCCTCACCCCACCAGCGAGTGGGCTCGGGGTGCACAAGGAGTTGGGAGAGGACACTGCCAGGACAGCTGATCCCAACTGACCAAAGGGATATTCCACACCATATGTCATCATGGTTAGCATGTAAACCTATGGGAAGAAGAAGGAAGGAGGGGATGTTCAGAGCGACGGCATTTGTCTTCCCAAGTGACCATCATGCATGATGGAGCCCTGCTGTCCTGGAGATGGCTGAACACCTGCCTGCCACGGGAAGTGGTGAATTAATTCCTTGTTTTGCTTTGTTTGCCTGAACAAACTGTCTTTATCTCAACCCATGACTTTTCTCACTTTTACTCTTCCAATTCTCTGCCTCATCCCACCGGCGGGGAGTGAGCGAGCGGCTGTGTGGGGCTGAGCTGCTGGCTGGGGTCAAACCACACAAATCCAAAATATAACCTCACACTAGCTACTGTGAAGAAAGTTAACTGTGTCCCAGCCGGAACCAGGACAACTTGATAAATCAGCATTTCCTCAGAATAAGCGAGTTTCTCCGGTGCTGCGATATTGTCAAGCCTGAGATTAGCGCAGTTTATCGGGCTGCACAAACAATGTCAGCAATGGGATCTTTCACAGCTCACAAGGCAGTTTGCTAATGCTCTCACGCTGCAATAATTTACATCATTGTGCAAATACCAGAAGTGCTTCACAGCAGTGAGAACTGACAAACCAAGATAACTCATAAATCACGGGCCATTTATAGCCCATTTGTTTTGTTTAATGTATCATGTTTTCAGTGCCTGTTGAAGGAGCTGGACTGACATCTACAGAATGGAAAACCACAGAAAAGACCCAGCATGAGCAGTACAGTGTAAGCCTCTCCTTTCAGCCTCTGTTTTTATATACAGGCACCTTTTGTAGAAGTAATTCAATTTTCATGAACATTTAATCTGTAACTCCATAGTGCCCCCCACCAGTATCTATGTTAAAACCTGGATAGATTCAACGGGGGAGGGACACTGGGTTTTGACCATTCATCCTAAATTAATCAGAAAGTGTGCTTTAATTTTCCATGCAAGTTCTCATGAAAGAATGACAAAAAAGCCACACCCAGCAAAGGGAGCCAGGCAATATTAACGTATAATAAGTAGAACAGAGTTAGGCAGGAAAGTCTTCCCATCTAAGAACAATTTTCAAACATTTTTCCTGACTTGAATTTGGATAGAGTTGACATTTTCACAAACTGAACATTTGAAAAAAAAAAAATATGGTCAGTCAAAAAGTTTAAACTTTAATGCTTGGAATACTATGCTTTTGTTTCAACGTCTAGTCACTATACATTAAATTCCTAGCTGCAAACTCATTGGAAATATATATTTATTCTGAAAAACACTAAAAGGAACAATATATTTTCCAATTTTTTTGCAGTAACTCTATCTAATAAAAATAATCCTTTCTTACGGTTTAGGATTTTCTATTATTTTTCCCCACACACAATAAAAATTCCCCCCCAAACAAAGTATTTCATTAGAGATTATCATACCCAACCAGTTCTACCAATAAACTTCCCATTAAAATTCCTTTTAAAGAAGTGAAATGACATGCCATGGGGTTATGAGAAAAAAATAATTTTAAATACAGAGAAAAATGGTTTGTTGTATATGTACGTTTTTCTTGTAACTATCTGCCAACAGCATCAGCCCAGGTGCAGTAAGTTTTACAGCAGAATAGACTGGGGCTCGCTCAGCAATCTGAGAACTATTAAGCGATGCAGCAGCAGCACTGAAAGACAACTGTTGCTATGGTGTTACAGTTCCTAGGAAATATGATGCAGCTCTTCAGTATTTCTTCTCTTTCAGCCAAAGACACATTTCTTTTCCCTGACTTGGATAGCATCAATTACAGAAACAAAAGGGTTCTCTGTGCTGGACCAGCTTAAAAGGTCTGTATAATTTCTACAAAAGAGCTCCTACCGCCCCTCATCCCCCTGAGAAGCCATGTATAGCCATTCTGCACAGATTATTCCTGAAACAGGAATAACTTCTGTGTTAAATTGGGCAGTTTAGAAGTGATTTCCTCATCAGACATATTCATATCCAAAATGCATGGACTGTATTTCCTGATTGCTCCAATACACATCCCTTGCTCTTGCTACAGTTGGCTTGTGGTTCTACAGAGGGAGGAGGGGAGCACAGTAAGCTTTCCCAGCTTCAAGTCACTCAGAAATCACTATTTCTCAGCAGTTCAAGGCTTTCTTTCACTCCTTTCACTCCCAACACCTGCAGCCAGAAAATGTTCCCTAAGGGGTCAAAGCTGCTCAGTCTCGTTCAGATTTACAGTGGTCTATAACAGGGGTTGCGTTGGCAAAGAGGGGTGAGATCTGCACGACTTAGAAACGAAAAAGGAAAAAACCATCTCTTATCAACAACATGGAGAAGATTCATTCAAACCTAAAATAGCCTACATAGAGCCCCACATCTAGGAACTGGAAATTGCTCTTGCTCTGGTAAACACAACCAAAATCCGATGATGTTTTAAGAATGATGCTCCTAAACCAGTACCCACAACAGTCTGGTAACTACTGCAAAAGCTATATCCCTAAAGCTTGGGTTCTCATTTTGCCTCCTATGAGGGACAGAAAGTTTGTAGGTAGTTTTGAACCATTTTTTGTTTATTAAGGAAAGGTGGAGCCTGCTACAGCTGTGCTCAAACGGAACTGTCAGGTTGGAGGAGTGCATGAGAGCGGTCCCCGTTCCCAGCAGCTCCAGCTGGTGCAACCAGGTCCTTTCTGTGGATGACATGAATTGCACGGGGAAGGATACGGTGTGAAAAAGCCTGGAATGATTTCCAGGCTGTGGAGCCTCATTTCTAAATACAGGTATATGGTGTGGGAGAGAAGAGAACCTGTATTTAAGATATCAGCTCTCTGCTGACTTCTCACAACCCAGCTGTTACAGCACAGCTGGATGCTGTGTGTCTGTTTACACCGTAAGGGATGACAAGCATGCTGCTTTTTAGAAATACCTGGATTGTCAAAGCATTGTGCATCATCAGTTAAGAAACAATGTCCTACAAATTCCAGTGTCTGATACTAGTTGATTTCACCTTACCTCAGCTTGTCTTTTTGAGAATTTTTAGACTTTGTGCATGATGTGGAATAGAAGATGGTAATTTGGGATGATCTTGTAGCCAGCACAAAAATGCTAATCAGGTTGTAATGCTATTGCTAAAGAAAATAGCATTAAAAGTACCAAATGAAACACTGAGCAATCTGCAAAGTAGTCCCATAAGCCTGATTCTCATGTCCCAATCTACATTAAATTATTCTTTTGTTCTAAAGGGTTTTGCTTCTTTGAGTTTATATGGTCATTTTCTTATTCTGCAGCAAGCTGAAAAGCTGGGGAACGAGCTCCTGCAGTCATGAGTGTTAGTAACCATGAACACTAAGACAGATGTTTCTCAGTTTCAGCTTTGACACACAGTCAAATCAAAAATTCATACTCCAAATAATACTCCCACCCTTGTAGTTTGCGTAACGCCCCTTACCTTGCAAGTGTCACTAGTAGCACAGAAAAAGATGTGACAGTTTCAGTGGTTACACCCCTCTGCAATATTATCTATTGTCTTACCCTTATTCTCACTCATAAAAGAAGTTTGTACATTGCTCAACATTTTAATTTGGGAAACTCACAGGCAACCAGATGGCCTGAGAAATGATCCTGGAAAGACACCAGTTCAGACTCCAAATATATATTTTTCCTTTATGATGTTGTTAGTAACAAGAAAATGAGTGACATCTAACCCTCTGTTTAAAAATAACTGCAGAGGAAGATGAAAATGTATTATTATAACGGGATGGTACCTTCCATCTCTGGAGTATCTGGAAAAGGTCAGCAGAGGCTGGAAGTCTTGTTCAATAGGCTATACACGAGAAATGTTTTAATCTGTATGTAGAATAGAAAACCTACTTATTGATGGAACATTAACGAGCACCTCTATATACACCACAGCACAACATCCCATCAAAAAACTAAATGGGCTACAGAAACATGAAACAGCAACTGGTCAGATCAGAGCATCTACCTGGGCAACACAGGGCTCTCCCTGCTCAGTGTCCCCTTCCAGGTGTCCCCTTTTGTGGGAAACTTGCAGTCCTGTCCCTTTTTCTCGTTATTTGTCTCTCAGGTGGTTGATTGCACATTGCAAAGGGGGTACTTTTGGCTTTCTCCAGGGAAAGGGACATTTTGGGGAAACACCAATATAAAATTTTCTTCTTTATATACTGCAAAATATCCCTCTGTGTCTGCCTTTAGAGGCAACACGTCAGATAAAGGGCTGAGTTCAAATACTTAAACCCAGGTTTGTCACAGTGGAGCCTGAAAGGGTTTGTCCATACACCAAATTACAGCTTCACCACTTAGCCACCAAAAGTAGAAATTTCATTGTCTAAACTACTTTTGAAATTTCCTTTCTGAAAAGCAATTCATCTTCTTTGGAAAAAAAAGGTAAGGTCTTAAACCAAAAAAAGTTTACAGCCTTAAAAAATGAACCCTGCAATCTAAGGACTATATCATACCTATCATTTGTATCTTATTGTTACTTACTGGTAGAACAAAGACTACGATATTTTAGTATGTGCTTATGTAGTTTTTATGA